CTACGGGTAGAGGGGCCACGACATCTCACGAACAACAAATTGCGGAGATGTCGAATGTTGATCGTGTTCTTGTGGAACGCTTTAGACAGGCTAAGCATATTCCTAGGCCAAAGGTACTTCCTCGTGCTTCACTCCCTTCCCTTCCACAAACTACTCACATGCCACCACTTCATAAGCTTCAAATCCCTGTTCCGCAGCAAGCCGAGTTTATGCGCTTTCCCACGCCACCACGTATGCCTCCGCATTCACCTCGTCGCTTGTCACCAGCGACGACCATATGCTTGAAAAGAGTTTATCGCACTGTGAAACAGTTGTCAACAAGAGACCACTTTCTGGAATATCCCCTTTTGAAGAAGGTTGACAACACTCCGAAGAACAAACCGAAAGTCAGGCGAGCGAAGCGATGGATTCCACGCTGGAGAAGGAAGAGGTGGGTATGAAATGAAGTATTTCTCGAGACCAAAGCTTTATAGTATTGTTTAGCTCCGTTGCTTTTGAAGAAGAGAATGGGAACGACGAAGAACCAAAAAGCATCCGTAGGAGGCAAGTTCAACTCAGTTCAAACAGTTCAAAAACACAGATCGCAAGCAAACTCGAGAATACTGAAGTCATGAGTAGTAGCATACACTAACTTGAATACTGAAAGCGCACTAGATCACTCCAATCAACCGTTGTGTGAAAAATATTGTTCTTTTTTTTCAAAAAAGAACTTTGTTTCTCGTTGCAGTGTTCCCACGGAAAATATGAAAATCAGATAGTTTATACATACTGATGGAGAAAACAAAGTGAAGTCAAATTGTTCATAATATAATTGAATAGGCTCTTTTACTTTAGTCAGTTTTGACCAAAAGCATTTTGTTAGAAGTTCAAAATTTGTTAACAAGTGCTAAATGTCAGACTTTAAGCGACAAGCTCAAGATCCTTCGAGATAGTGATAGTACTATAACGGAAATCGAAGTGGCCGGTGGGGTGAGCTTTACACGATGCTTTGATAGATTAGATCTTTTGATTGTTTTTGTTTAGCGTTTGAATGAGCGTCAAATGGAGAACCAGCCAAAACGTTTCTTGGGATTCGAGGAGAATCGAGAAAAGAGTAATGATGAAGAGCTGGAAAAAATAAGAG